TCCCATACCGTTACCCATTCCCAATCCCATTCCCATTCTCATTCTCATGCTCGTTTCCAATCCCATTGCCATTTCCATTCAGTAAACGTGCCGAGCGTCGCCCACGCAAAAGTCGATAAATTATTAGATTGTAAATAAAGCGAACGAAGACACACTGAAAGTATACGAGGGAGGAGTGCGGGGTATCTGGGTAAAAGGTAGCAGCAACTGCTGATGCTGATGCTGATGTTGATGGCAAAAAACTGGCGTAAAAGAAAAAGATTATTGGGAACCGCAGCAAAGTTTTCCTTCGCCTTTAGGCAGCCGGCGCACATGTGTCCAAAAACCACAGAGAAAAAAAAAGAATGAAAAAGAAGCTGAAGCATTGAAAAACACACTAGATAGGCTGGCAGGCAGCGCGGGGGGGCGCAGAGTGCAGAGGTAAAGCTTTACAAAACGGCAATAGTTGTGGACTTGTGTGGGTGTGTGTGTGTGCGTCAGCTGTCGCCTGTTCTGGACAACAACATCAACGACAAGAGCCTAAGCAATATTCATGTTTATATGAGTGTGTGTGCGCGTGTGTGTGTGTGTGAATGTGTGTGTGTGTGCATGTGTGTGGATATAAGTGAGAATGCGTGTAAAGTGTGTGTAATCAATCATTTATGAAATTACGCTACTTCCGCTTTTGACAATTTTCCTTTCAACGCCCCCAAAAACCCTGCAACGCCCACACACCTCCCACCCACACCCAAACCACCATCCTCAACACACCAACCCCAACCACTAACGCCTCACAACGTATCAGCGATGACGTAAGTGTCTTTGTAATACGTAAAATGCAAATTCACACACATGCCCAGGACGTGTGTGCGTGTGTGTGTGTGTGTCTCAAAATCTTCGATGAGGAATAGATTATGATGATGCCCAGCAACAAAATGCGATAAAAAGAATAAAGTTTTGGGCTAGAAATAAATATAAAAAAAGAAGAGACCACACGCAACGGCAGTTGAGAAAGTGTTAAAAGAGGCTTTGAAGTGGGGCAGGTATACAAACATATACATATATACAAACAAATATATATATATATATATATATAGCCTTGAACCCACTCGTTTGAACTCAAGTTAAGAATGAATGTACAAACAGGAGAGCTTAAAAAGAATCTGCTTTAGTGAAAAACTTTTGGAAAATGAACCGAACCATTTACAAGAAACGATAAACGGAACTAGTGTCACAGGAAACCATGTGACAATGTCATAACAAAGGTGCTAGCAATATAAAAACGAATGTAAGATCAAATTTTGTGAAAATGAATGGATTCGAGCTAGCCTGTTTTAGCTATAAAAACTGATGGAAATAAAACTCTTGCTTTGATTAGATTTCTATTTAACGAAACTAGCGAAACAAATTGTAATTGTAATAAAATATGCAAAAATAAAAAAAAAACAATTATTTGAATAATATTTGCTACACAAAACAAGTCCTCGTTGAACATTCACATTTGAAAATTGTTCGTTTGCTGTTAGCCCAAAAGGAAGATAGACAAATTTTTTAATTTTAATTGTGCTTTTGAGCATAGTTCTGACATTCCTACCAAATATCATTTACTTGGTTAAAAAAAAAAAAAAAACATGTGAGATAAAACCTTGAAAGGAATTCGACAGTGGAAAACAAAACATGCACATAACTTTTAATTCAATTGGGCTGCCAAAATAGTTTTGCTAATGTACCAACCCTTAAAAGTTTCAACGCCCCTTAGTAACCAGCTGCGGCCCCAAAGGTATGCAATATGAAATTAATGTGTGGCTTGGGTGTTTTTCTGGCTTGGCCCAAGCAACGCTTTAGCCAGCTTCTGTGCCCATCAACTAATTTGCGTTTGTTTGACCATCAAAAGACTCGTAACCCAAATATGAAAACGGGTAAGAGGTGTGCTACTCTGTCTGTGTGTGAGTTTGAGTGTGTGTGGGTGGGTGTGGGTGTTCGCTGCCACTCTGTTGACTGTTTCAGTCCCTGCGGTTCGGCCACAATGTCAGCCAAGAGTCCTTTTGACTAATTAGACGACTTGCGGTGAACGTAATCATAAATACACACAGCTGTAATTATGATATGAGGCCGACAAGCAACAACAACAACAACAACAACAACATCAACATCGATAAGACACATATATGTGTATGTAATTGTGTATGTAGGCAACTGACTAAGCTGTCGAGTTAATTAATTTAAAACTGGCCGAAACTGCAGAGCCTCAAGGAGGCCTACAAGCTCGCGTCTCGGCCATGTGCAAAGCTGACTGGAAGCCAAAATGCGAGGGCTGTAGTCGAAACACTTTTTTTTATATTATTTATATTGTTGTACTTTCTACTTTTTTCTAGACGCTCTTCGGGTTTTCTTTTTGGAAGCTGTGACAGGCGCTGAATGTGGAGCAGTGGCGCAGAGCGCGCGCAGTTAATAATTTCAAAAACTAGCGACTGGAAAAGTCGAAGGCACAGCTTTTTTTGAATCACTTTGCAAAACAGCATTAAAGTATACTTTAACTACAGAAGCTGGTCAGATTAATCAAAATCAAAACATTACAATAAATTGTATTTATTTATTTATTTTTTGCTTCAGTAATATTGGCAGTCGCTAAAAGTGGGCACAAAAAAATTGCCATGGCAAACTTATATAAACTGCGGAAAAATTGCAGAACAGAAAAGTGTTTCGTGTCATGTGAGAGCGGCGCTGAATAGCGAAGAGACACTGAGAGCGAGAGTGAGAGCGAGAGAGAATGTAGGAGAGAATCGTTAGTAATATTAAGCAGCTGACTGCGTGCTCTCTCCCTCTCTCTCTCTCTCTCTCTCTCTCTCTCTGTCTCTCGCTTCCTGTCGCTCTCTCGTTTTCTTGCTCTCTTTTCATCACCTGATTTCCACAGCAGACGCGTTTCGAACTAGAAACATGTTAAGGCTGCTACTCCTGCTGTAAGGCCCAATAGGGGAGGGGGTGTGTGGTTGGGGGGCATAGGGTGGCAGGGTGTTAGTTGCGTGTCTGCAGCAGGTTCCACCCGCAGGCTGATAGCCTGCTGCCGTTGTTGATGTTGTTCTTGTTGTTGCTCTTATTGTGCAGGCATTTAAATGTGTGCCAGCCGCACACACACCGGGCGTATGCGTAATTTAAATTTAAATTCGTGTGTGTGTGTGTGTGTGTGTGTGTGTATTGGTAAGTTGTTGTTGCTACTGCTGCTGTTGCTGTTGCTGCTTAGCTAGCTGCCTCAAGTTTTACTTAATCAGCAACGCAATTCACATTCGCTTGCAACTTGTTTTTTAGACTCGGCCCCATTCACGAGTTTGTTTTCTATTTTCATTTTCATTTCTTTTTTGCCCGAGCAAAGCTTTTCCTTTTATGCCCCTGTTGCCCGTTTGCTGTTCAGTTGTGGCGCTCATTAGCGGTCGCATTGTCACGCAGCCCCTGAACAAGCGCCACCCTCCTACCAACCCAACCCTCGGCATGAGCAGTGCACATTGACATCGTTATAACAACTGCAGCAGTTGGTCAGCTGCTTGTTGAAAGTTGTTTAAAGGCTCGCAGCAAATAATTGGCAATTACACGCACACACACAGGGCAATGGCCATCAAATATGCAGTCAAATGTTTGCACAGACATTGAAATATGTGACAGCAGCAGCAGCAGCAGCAGCAGCATCAGCAGCAGCATAAGCAGCAGCAGCAGCTTTACAGTTGCCACAGTTGTCAGTTGGCGACCTCTAAGTGCCACAAATTAACCGCAACGCGTTGCTTTTTCACTTACCCAAACACCCTCCACCCGTCGCTGCACCCCTCTTTGAGCTCTCATCGCTGATAATTACGCGCAGAAATATAAAACCCAAGGGCCGAGGGCTGAACGGGAGGAAGGGAGGGTTTTTCACTTTTTGGACGACTGCTGTGCGCGGATTTCTGAAGTGGGCGCAGCTGCTGCTGCTGCTGTTGCTGCTGCTGTCGCTGGACTTGGGACTTGGGATGCAAAGGCACGCCTCATTCCGCTAGTTTAAAGCAGTCGCGAGAGGCGACATCAATAATTAATGAGCAGCTAAAAATGTCACGCAGCGTTGTTGCCGCACGGAAGTGTTGCGGACCAAGCTAGGATTTAGCTTTAGCTGAGAGTGTACACTGGGCAAAATTGAGCAATAACAGCAACAACAACAAAAACAAGAACAGCAACCAGGACCATTAGCTTGTTATATCCAATGAATAGCAGAGAGCAGTAGAGCAGTGGCGTTAGCTACCATTGCTTATAGTCCGGCTTATTAAATTTGGTAAGGGGTTTCTCAAATAATTAAGCCAATTAAATTTAGTTTGCTATTTTGGAAGAATATCTAAATCCATGAGGAAACGACAATTGCAGATGAGTGAGAAAATCAAGCAAAGTTCCAGAAAGTCAGCTAATTACTAAAAAGAATTATTAACCACATATATCTTAACGCAAAAATTGCTTGATCTTAAGTCAGCCCAAATAGCTGCATATATTTATAGGGTAGTAAACAGTTGAATACTCGATACTCGCAACACTTTCGCTTGTTTTCATTTGTCTTGTAGGGTTGCGGCTATGGCGTTTGGGGCTTTCGGCTTGGGGCATGGCATATTTTGGGGTTAACGGGCTGAATTTAAATGAGAGGTTGAGTTGAGTTGAGTTGCGTTGCGCTGCGCTCTGCTGTGGCAAGGGTTGCCCACCCATTGCCCAGTATTTAATTAAAGCATGATGTAATGCGAGCGCGTGTCAAGTGAATACGGAGACAGAGGCAGAGGGAGAGACAGAGACAGAGAGTGAGAGTGAGACGCAGAAGAAATCGCAAGAGCTCTAGAGATTTGAGTGCAGAATAACTTGCAATTACTCTGCTGAGACAGTCGAAACAATCGAAAGTAAGAGAGAAAGTCAGAGAACAATTAAATACTCTAGATAAAAATGGAATCGCGAGAGTGTAACAGACACTCTCAAATTAAAATTATCTTTCCATTATACAACCAATAAATATTGCTACGACTTACCTTGCAGTCATCGCACTGATTGACCAGCGAATACACCTGTCGGCAATCGAAGCGAAAGAGTATCTCGGCCAGTTCGCAGGTGATGCGATTTGCCAGCGCATCCACATCGAGCAGATCGCTGAGCAGGCGAATGCAGTCATTGCGATCGGAGAGTGTTGCATTCAGCGCCAGTGTGTGCAACGCACTGAACACGCTACGCTCACAGCAATGGCGCAGGCGCAGTGTGCGCAAACGCGCCAGCAGCTGTCCAGGCGACCGCAGGCCGCACAAATGCTGTGGACTCGTCTCGGCCGCATCGCCCAGGTAATCAAGGCACTGTTGTTGTTGCTGCTGTGGTGGTTGTTGCTGTTTCTGTTGCTGTTGCTGTTGCTGTTGTTCGTTGGCACTATGTTGCTCTTGTGTCTGCAGATGACTGTAGAGCAACGTTGGCATTGACTGATCCTCCAGCTCATCCACATCATTGCTGCTGGCCGTGGCTGACAGCGTGGAAGACTCGGGCAGGCCATCCTGCTCGGTTGTTGCTGCTGCTGCTGCTGCTGCTACTGCAGGCTCCGTTGGTGCATTGGCAACAACATCTTGCATCTCCCATTGCCTATCGCGTCGCACTCTAGACATGGCCTTATAGTTATTGTTGCTGTTGCTGTTGCTGTGGCTTAAACGCGTATGCGGCGACTTATAGTTAATCGTATTTGCATTTATGAAATACTTGAGTTTATTATCGGTGCGCGCCTCAGCGCTGCTATCCGTCGGCTGCTGCTCGGCACAGGAACGCGGACAGATTGGCGGGCCAGGTCCCTCATCGACCCAGGCCATGGGCAGTGTGCCAGCCGAGCACTGACCCTGAAAATGAATAGAAGTAAAAACGGGCATGTTAATAAAAAGTTATGAATGCAATATTATCTATTCATTTTATATTAATATCTGTAGACCTGACAGCAATCTAATGCGTAAGATGCTTGACTCATATCCCGTCGAGCTAATAAAAACCAATGATGTTCCTTAATTAAATCCACATAACAAACGAGAAGATAATGTTTTTCATTATATTTTAACTATCATTTGCTGCCAGTAGAAATAAAATGAACAAGAAGTATTAATTCCTAATTGAATTCATTTTATGCTATTGAATGTTTTTTTTATGAAAAAGGAATATATTTAAAATGCAATTGATGGCTAAAATATCAACCAAAGCGTAAACAAATAAACCATCCATTAAAACTATAAGCGAATTATATCAAGCGATTTAACACCAAGCAGAGATACATACATTCTAGGCCAAAACTGGCAAACAATTTAAACTATTTAATCTGTTTAATAAAGCGTTAATGCATTGTATTATTTGAAAACTAAGCAGGCAAATGCAATGTACACACACCACACAGAGAGAGAGAGAGAGAGAGAGAGAGAGAGAGAGAGAGAGAGTTGGAATATGTGATGCAAGGCAACGGGGTAGAAAACAAAAAGTACTCTGGTATATTGAAAAAGTTTTGTGCAGCTACTAACAACAACAAGCGGGAAAGTCATAAAATAAAACAACATCAAGCAGAAGAAATAGAAGAAGAACAAGTAAAATAGAAGCCAAACAACGAAACAAGCAGCAAGCAGCAAGCAGCAACAAGAACAAGAACAAAAACAAAAGAACATCGACAACAAAAAACAACAATGGCCATGAGTGCATAAAAAGCTGATGTTTTTCGTTATTAAAATGACCGCACTTCGTTGGAATTTTCCACATTTTCACATGCCCCGCCATTAAATTCGAGCAGCAGCGTAGCGCAACAACAAAAAATAATCGTAGCACACTTTATGGCGGCACCGTATCAATAGAAACAGCTATGCGAAGCCGTTGGCCAATCGTTGTTTATAGCACTCACATGGCGGGTTATTAAAGCTTTAAGCGCAAATATATTAAAAACAAAATAAATACATATATATCTCGAATGCGAAAAAGGGCCACAAAACTGAAAACAAGCAGTTCCAATTCAACTAAACCATACCCAAAGCAACAGATATCTATCACGATAAGGTTTAAAAAATCAAAAAACATCAGTAAAAGTTGCACTTCAAATACACTAAAAAAAACAACACTTAAGAATTGTGTATAACTTCGTTGAATCTTATCCGATTTTGATGAAACTCTTGCAGTTAATCCATAATTTGTCAATGTACATTTCATATCAATTGAAAGACTCTGCGTATAAAATTATGGCTTTTATTGCTGTCTAAATTTGAATTCTCTAATTCTCATAGTCTCTGATATCACGCACAAAACCCTTACACACTTTTAATAGCTATAAAGAGGGCAGAAAGTACATAATGAAGCCAATTTCATCCAATAACTGAACAAGAGCAGATAGCAGCCAGTAAACTACAAAAGCTAATCAAATGTGGCAACTAAATACCAATTAAATTCACATGAAAAGTGAACTAGAAACTGCAGCAGAATGCCACTAAACTGAATCACAAAACAGAAATCGAAATCGAAATCGAAATCAGAAACATATCTCAAAGCAAAGCAAGCAGCACACACATATGGAGCAAAGTTAAATGTGCAAATTGCATTACAAGGCACATCAATATTGCATGTCACACGACTTGTGTGCGGTGTGCGTTTTTGCGAACTGTTGAACTTTGTCTGGCTGTGCATACTACTGTGTGTGTGTGTGTGTGTGTGTGAGTGTGTGTTTGTGTGTGTGTGTGTGTGAGTGTGTCTGTGAGTGTGTGTGTGACTGTTTTTCTGTGAGAAAGAGAAAGAAATGTGCAACATTTAACGAAACATAATAACTCAATTGTCTGGGCTCTCACAACTGTTTTATCCAGGGCAATAACAATAAGTTGGATGCCTTAGTTCAGCGGAACGCACGCAACCTTTATATGCACATACATATATGTATAAGTTAGGTTACACACGAATTCACATTCGGATTTGCATAAATGTGTATCACATAGGGAGTAAAAATGAAAAATCATACAATGTACAATAACATGTACAGCAAAATTGTGGAAGTTACACAGCAACGCACTAAGAGATTCCCTTTAGAGATATAAGAAGTATTTCACAAGTGATTGAAATAAATAGATATATATTTAAATATATATTGTATTAAGCTCTTAGTCGAATAAGAGCCTAAAATCAAAAGTAATCATTTAACCAACTGACAACACATTTAGAAAAGAATATAACTTGTTCTTGTACAAACATTGTTAAAATCCGACAAAAGTTGAGAGTACTTGAATAGTACTTAATTAAGTACAATTGTTTTCATTAAAAAAATGGCTTTAATGTTCTTTCTAAAAGCACTCTAGTTCTTTAATCTAACCTGATATCATTTTAAAATTAATCATTTTGGTTATTTAGACTTTTGAGTGTTTGTTCGGGGTTCAAGAACTTTGGTTCGCATTTGAATAAAACACGATTCTTTTTTGAAGAACAAACCGAGCTGTTGACCGTACCTAACAATAAATCAGCAACTCTTTGCTTACTTTAGTAAAGGGTATAAGCAAACAAAGACACACACACACAAAGACACACACACCCACACACACACATATATGCATATATACAGACAAAGTGGGAAGCACGTGTACACGGTGCCATTGTTGATTTAATGGCAGACCAGCTGCGGCCCAGTGCACAACAATGCGACCCATCCAGCTGCCGTCCAAGGTTTGAGTTGGGGTTACAAAATGGGCACTGGGTTAGGGGTCGAGGGTCGGGTTGTGTATTGGTGGTGTGGGGGTGTGGTGTCGGGTTTGCTGTGTGGCTGGGTTAACGGCAGCTAACGGACAATACAAGACAGCAACAAGATAAATTCTTGAATGCGCAACAGCGAAATAAGAAATTACAGAATGAACTGCCATTACAATTTGTAAAACGGTGTACAGGGGACCCCCCTCCCCACTCCACATCTACAACCCATCTACCCGACCCCCCGACCAGCCCATGCCACTCGAGCGCCGCGCTGATTAGTTGCGCTCATTTCAGTCCGATGGCTGTTCAAACAGTTTGAAAATGCAAAATAAATGCAAAGTTTTGCAAAACTTTTCCCAGCTTTTGGTTAATGCAAAATTCAAGAGAAAAATATGAAAAGTTTTCGCTGCTTCGCTGTTGCCGGTTAGTGAAGGGGTTGATTGGGGCTGGATGGAGGATTGGCTAACTAGCTCGTGATATAAAATAAACTTCGAACTGTAACCCAAGCTGGCCAACACTTAATTATGCCAAATTGTTTTTCAGAGTTTGGGCAAGAGCGCGTCTCACCTGCAGGTCAAATCCTATGCTGAGCCACAGACTACATGAGAAATTCCCAACAAAATAATAACTTTTAATTATAAAGTCGGTTAAGGACGATGAAGAATGGGTATTTCAACCGAGTTGAATGCAAGTTTCTGCGGAAATTATGTCTGCTTAAGATTTATCAGGAAATGTGTGCAAGGAGTAGACATAAAAATAAATTACTTTTTATCTTGCAGAGTCCAGCTACGAGTATTTCATTAATGTCGGTCTATAGATTACAACAACTTGAGAAATGGAGAAAGGGCTTACGTACATGCCTTAGACAGGATAGGAGAATGGGTTGTCCTGCAAAGTATATAGAATTGAACATATATGTTTTTCTACAACTATTTCCATACAATATAGAAATATTTATAACTTTGTACGATTATACAGAAACAAATGATTTTTAGAAAGCATCTTATACAAAATATTCTATAACAAAAATAGAGAGATATTATGAGAACAATTTATATTAGTTTATGTTTGTATATACCAAAAACAAATGAACGCCTTTATATATGTATGTGATATAGCTCAGCTCCATCAACGCTTACTCCGAGCTGTCCTGGGTCAAATGCGGACTGCGGCCAGAGGCGACGGATAGCATCCAATCCAGCTGACAACTCATTGTCAGAGGAAGGAAAAAGTGGGAGAGTGGGTGGAGGAGAAGACCTGGCTTGTGTTGGGCTTATTGGACGAGAGGCTTTCAGCTTGCAACATGCAGAGGCAGGCTACGCAGACAAAAGCCTCATTGCCACAAAGGACATTTAACTAGCTAGACATTTAACTGTATGTGTGTGTGTGTGTCTGCTTTTAGGCATAATGCATACACTCCATTATGCGAGAGCTTTGTCTAAGGTTTGCTGTGTGTGAGTGTTATATTTTTGTGTGATTAGAGGCAAGACGCAAGGCACAAGACAAGTTGTTGTTGCAACAATAAACAGCTTAAGCTCGCCAGCTTAATGACAACTTGCATAACACAGCAACAAATTTTAGTGAACGAGACAAAATGTTTGCCTATGCACTGTATTCTATATTCTGTCCACAGACCCATGAATGTTTTAGTTTTTGGCCAACTCATTGTTGCAGAGGCAGCAGCAGCAGCAGAATTGTTGCAATTTCAATTGCCCAAATCTACGACGCTGAATATTTCATGCCAAACACTTTCGAATTTCATTTCATTTTCACCCTCTCGCTCTCGCTGCAGCTCTGTGTGTCGGCTGAATGGGTCGCATGTGTAATGCAGCATGTGGCATGTGGATTTTCAATTGTTGCTCCGGCAACTCTTGGCAGCAGCCAACTGCAATTTGGCATCTGGCAAGTGACAAGCGGCAAACAGATTATTAGCATAATTGCTCTTAAAACGCTTTGAGCCGTTTGTTATTCCAGTTTTTTTTTTTTTGTTAGCTCAAGGCGTATTTTAATTCGGTTTTTCCACAAAATAAAAAAACTTTGAAGCTTTTCCAAATGCATTATGCATTATGCTGTCAGCAAATCAACAGCTCGCAGTTATGTTAATTTTTTGGTTTTCGTGGAGTGCAAAAACAGTTGAATATAAATTTCC